TATCTAGGGAACTCTCTATGTATTTGACATCAAATTGGACGGGACGTTTTGATCACTTGGTTAGACAATTGAGAGTAGCCATTGCTCATGTTAATTCTACCCGAGTAGACATTGTTTTTGCACAAGGTATATCTGATTGGATTGCAAGTGCTGTATCTATTCTGAAGGATTGGGCTGGAATGGGATCAATGATTGCTTTGTTGGCGTTGGCAGTGTTTTTGGGATTTTGGTGGTTATGTAAGATGAGACGACAGAGACAAAATGATAATATCATGTTGATGCAAGTTTTTGCTGCCCTTGAGGCCGGATACTCGCCTGCTGCCTGGTTGGCCAATTTACAATAGCAGCTTGAACGTTGGTCAATATTCTGCCTATGCCTTGCTCATTCGGGGGCCATAAATATCTGCATCTCTCTACCTCCTTGGACATGGCCTCTGCACTCTGTGGATTAGTCCATTGCACCAGAATCAGGCATGTCTTTTTACAATCTTATTGATCAGCCTTTGCACCGCTCAGAGGTTCTCCTCATTGCACGAGCTAAGGTGATCCAACAGTTGCTCATATGGAATACCTGCTTCGACCACCTTCCGGCCGGGGTGGTTGACAGGCTCCTCCTGAGCTCTAGTTATTTTAAGGAAGGGGGAGATGTCACGCGCCATTATTTCCGGGTTCTTCATGCCCTGCATGAATTCCGGATGTGAGTCCGCCGGTGACGGTGGTTCATGCCTGCGCAGAAGAGGCGCTTGGTTCGTCAGAATGACGCAGGCCGGCATTGACCAATAGAAATGGGCCACGTCACCCGAGAGGCTATAAAAGGCAGGCTCGCATCCGGCTCGGGGTCTTTCCGCCATTTTGAAGAATGTAGAAGAAACTCCAATAAAGCGTGCATCAGAAGAATCCTGAGTGTTGCGTGTTCCTTGCTGGCGAGGTGCGCGCGACACAAAGACCTAGGTATAAAAACTGAAACTTTGAAACTGCTAGAAGAAAACATAGGAGAAACACTTGAAGCCATTAGGCACAGGCAGAGACTTCCTGAATAGGACTCCAATAGCACAGGAAATAATACCAAGAATCAGCAAATGAGACTATGTCAAATTAATGTTTCTGCACAGAAAACCAACAGTGTGAAGAGCCTACACAAAGGGAGAAAATCTTTGCAAGCTGCTCTTTTGACAGGATTAATATCTAGAATATATAAAGAACTAACCACTTGCCCCCAGAAACCCAGTCAATAAATGGGCAGATAAATTGAACAAATACTTCTCAAAAGAAGTACATATGGCCAATAAGTATATGAAAATGTTCAGCATCTTAACCATTAGGGAAATACAAGTCAAAATTATATTATGATTCCATCTCACCCCAGTCAGAATGGCTGTTGTCAAGAATTAAAAAAAAAACAAAAAAAAAAACCACAAAAAAAACAGTAAGTGCTGATGAGGATGTAGAAAAAAATTCCCCCTACTCTGCTGGTGGAAAGTAAATTAGTGATCACCACTACGGAAAGTATGGAGGTTCCTCAAAAAGCAAAAGACAGAAGGAGCATAGGATCCAACTCTACCACTCCTTGGTATGTAGCCCAAGGAATTAAAGTCAACATACTATAGTGACACCTGTATGCCCACGTTTATCGTTCACAGTACACAGTAGCCAAGATGTGGAACCAGCCTAGGTGCCCATCAGTGGATGAATAGATAAAGAAAATGTGATCTGTATTCACAATGGATCATAAAGACAAACAAAATGGTCATTTGCAGGTAGGTGGATGGAAATGGAAATCATGTTAAGTAAAATAAGCTGGACTCAGAAAGACAAGAATTGCACGTTTTCCCTAGCTTGTGAAATCTAAACAATCAAAAAAAAAATAAAAGGATGAAAATAGAATGGAGACTTTTTTTTTTTTCCTCTTTATACTGGGATCAAACTCAGGACCTTGAGCTTGTGAGGCAGGTGTGATGCCACTGAGTTAAGTCCCCAGCCCTGAATGGAGTCTGTTACTGGGCAAGAGGAAGGAATTGGAGGTGTGCGGAAGGCAAGGTAACAGAGGAAGCAAATGTGATCAAAACATGTTCTATGCATGTTGAAGATACCACATTGAAACTATTTTGTAAAATTAATGGGTACTAGTAAAATATATTTTTAAATGTATAAGCGTATTTATTGTTCAGTGTCACAGTTCCATCCCTCTGTGTATAAACGCAATGTGGTGGGTCCATGCAGTGGGATCTTATTTGGCCATAAAAATGGACGAACCTCGAAATCATTGTACTAAGTGAAAGAAGGCGGTCACAAAGATCCTACACTGTGATGTGGTTTAAACGAAGTGTTCAGAACAGGCAAGTCCCTGAGAAAGTGAGTGATTAGCAGGGGCTTAGGGCTGGAGGAGGCAGTTTTGTTAGTGATGATGGTAGCAGAAGGATCAGGCCACGATGGATAACAGTAAAGTTTCATTTTGAAGCAAGGGAAATGTTGTAAAATCGATCGTAGTAATAGTTGAATAAGTCTGTGACTATACTAAAAACCATTGAATCATGCAGTTGAGTTAGGCAAATTGTGCGGCATATGAATTAGATCTCAATGAAATCATTACAGAAAATCAGGGAGCACATGGCTGGGAAGCTGCACACATTCAAACTACGTTTGTTCACATTGAAATCCTGGAGGGACAACAGGTGGGTAGAGATGTTGGGGAGCTGGAGTGAGGTCGTGACTCATTAGCATAGGGGCTCACTCACTGCCCTAGGCCACTTTGCTAAGTGTGGTAGATCAAGGAGGGTAAGTGGGACACCTTCAGTACTGCTCCGTTTTCAGAAGTGACAGCTGAGGACTGATCACCCTCTCGGCATCCAAGACGACCCCCTCACTAAGACTGGCAGATCTCTTTCCAAAATTTCAACCATAATGTTCTTCACTTCCTGTAGTAACCATAAGTGGTTATGATAATGACCCTTAAGTAACTTCAGAGTATCTCAGGATATGAATATTGAAATTTTGTTATTTTTAAATAAATACATTTAAAATAACTTATACTCTAAGTGGATTTGGAGTTAGTTTATTTCCTCACTTAAGAGAATAGACCAAGCTCTTAAAACCAAAATGTCCACAGAAGTCACTGCAGTCACTTCATACTTCACACTTTTCATATCCCAACATTACCTGGCAATAAATGTGAATTCACAGTAATGATAGTGGAAAGGAAGAAAAAGAAAGCAAATGATTCTATCAGCTGCTTCAATATCCCTTGCTCAGCTCAGAGTTTTCATTTGGTGAGTCCAAGTCCTGACATAAGTCCTTCACATAATAATATCTGAATTTAGGTAAATGAAATTTTGTGGGTTTTTTTTTTTGTTTTTTGTTTTTTGAGACAGGGTCTCACTATATAGTTGAGACTGACCTGGAACTCGCTATGTAGGCCAAGCTGGTCTCGAACTTACAGTGATCCTCCTGCCTCAGCCTCCTGAGTGCTGGGATTACAGGCATGTGCTACCACACCCAGCTTGTTTTGTCTTTTTGAGACAGAATCTCTTCATGTAATCCAGGCTGGCTTCATACTCTGGAGATCCTCCTGCCTTAGCCTCTTGAGTGCTAGGCTCCCAGGTGTGTGGCACTGCCCCTGGCTCAACCTGATTTCTTTGTCTGGTATCACCTTTTTACTTTAGTTTTATTTATAGCTATCAATTTCTCTTGATTATTGAAGCAATACAAATGTCTTTGTAGACAGTTTAAAGAACTACTTAAAAGCAGAGGAGGCTATAAACATACCAAGTCTTTTTGTCCGCTATATACTGATGCGCTTTCTCGTGAGCCTGTTCTCTTATTGCTTGTGCAGACGTAGATCCAGATTGGGGTCTTCGTCTTAGTTTTGTCCCGACTGAGCACTTCGTGAACAGCGTCCCCACTGTGCATTTGGCCCGCATGCGCATTGCCGCCTCAGGGTCCCGCCGCAGACTCCGCTTTGGTAAAGCGCTTTCACAGCCTTTTTTTTTCTGTTCTTTTTCAGCACACTCCTTGCCAGTTCTCACGTAGAGCATTTGAGGAGGCAGCGAAAGGCCAGAGTGGCGGGACCACGGCAAGAGAAGAGCATGGCCCCAGAAATGAGGTAGAGCCCGATCCTGTTACTGGGTTAGAGCAGCGATCAGAGGCCGAGAAAGGAGAGGGGGAAAAAAGGATAATAATAATAAAGAAAGGCTATGAAGAGAGACAAGGGCGGGGAATGGGGAGGCGGCTGTGAAACCAGGTGAGCAGGAGACAGCTCTCCTGAGGAAGACCAGAGTGTTTTACAGATAAAAAAAACTCAGAGCAGTAAAACAACTTCCCTGAGGGGAGGAGGCACATTAGAGTTAAATTCGTTTCTTTCGGCAGCCCCCGCCCAGCCAGGTGTGGAGGTGCTCGCCTGTCACCCCAGCACGCTGGGAGGCTGAGGCTCCAGGATCACTAGTTCAAACCCAGCCTGGGCAATTTAGAGACACAGTGAAAGCCTGTCTCAAAATTTAAGAGAGGGAGAGGGAGAGAGAGAGGAAGGTCTGGGATGTAGCTCACCTCCAAGGCCCTGGGCTCAATCCATAAGGAAACAGCACCGTCGGGATATAGTACCCCATCGCGGTACACGGAGCATGTCTGCTGTTCTCAGAACCCTTCGGGTGTGATTCCTGTCTTCTTTCCATTGAGCTTGGGCACTAAAGTATTTCTAAGAAGTGTAATTTAAAAGAGGGATCTGTGCGTGTGACTGTGCTTCGTGCTGTGTGTATGTACGGCAGATAGAAATGCAGGTTTGCTTTATGGGCTTTGCAAGGGTTGTCTTGGAACTTAGTACATTTTCAACTCTAAAACCTGAAACGTGCACCTGTTGGCATTTTAAAGGTCTGCTCAGGACAGGGAACGGCCCCCTGCGGCCCACAGAGCTGCTCCCGAGAGTAAGCCTGGGAGGGAGCCAGAGCCCCAGGCTTCGGAATCCATGCTGGAAATGAGCTCCTCTAGTGAGTCTGAGCTTTACCAGAGTGACTCAGGACAATCTGCCGTGGGACAATCATCGACCTCATCTGCAATGATCTGGTCTTTGGGGACTGAGGATTCGGTACCCCACGTCTCCAATGCTGAGGTCTGGGAGATGTATGCTTTAGAGAACCAGGCCAGGGCCGGGCAGCCCCAGAAAAGTTCTGTAGCAGAGGTGGTGCCTGTCTCTGTCCTGAAATCGAAACCCTCGAAGGAGCAGGGGAGAGTGGCAAAGACAGAAGAAAGCGGTGACTTCCGCGCCCGTCCACTCTGGCCCAGGAAGGCAGAGTACATGCTGGCCCTGATGGGCTACATCATCAAGCCAATCAGTCTCTGGCGCTTTGTGTACCTGTGGCTTCACAAAGGAGGCGGTAAGTCCAGGAAGCAGGGAGCCACGGGGGGCTGGCAGGACAGAGGCCTGCTCAGGCTTCAAAACTGAGCTGTGTCGATGCTGGGCAGCCAAGCCGCCATGAGCAGGAAAGGAGGAGGGAGCCTGCACACCTGAAATCCCAGGGGGGAGGCGGTAGCGGGTGTCTGATGTGTGGATGGTCGGGCTGGAGGCCTGGTCAGTGGTGATGGGATATTAGTCAGCTTTTCGTCACTGGGACGAAAAGCCCAACATCCACAGCTTAGAGGAGGAAGGATGTATTCTGGCTCAGTTTCAGGAGGTTTCAACCCAGGGCTGGCTGGCATGGCAGCTGGAAGCAGAGGACGAGAGCAAGCCAGAGAGGGGAAGGGACTTTGGAGGAGAACAAACCCTCCCGGTCACTCCCACAGCTCACCTCCTCCAGTGAGGCCCCACCTCCTAGCAGCGCTTTCAGCTGTGATTTACAGTGGGCGAATCCACTCACAGGCAGAGCGCCGCCACGACCCAGGCACCTCCCAAGTCCCCACCTCAGAACACACGAGATTCGGGGGACATTCCAGATCAAACCATAGCAGGTGACAACAAGTGTCTGGCCCTCTAGAAACTAGGGACCAGGAGACGAGGAGCCTGGGCCTGTGAGGAAGTGGAAACACCTGACCTTAGCGCTGGGGGCTCCGTGGGAGGCCCTGCTGGTGAGCATGGCGTCTTGAGCCGTGAAGTTGCCCAGGCACTGAAAGCCGTGGTTCTGGATCCCTTCTGGACTCTTCGCAGGCAGCTTCTTCTTCATCTACACTGTCGTGCTGCTCTTCGTGGGGATCCCTCTGCTCTTCCTGGAGATGGCAGTTGGCCAGAGAATGCACCGGAACAGCATAGACGCGTGGAAGATCATTGCCCCTTGGGCTGGTGGCGTGGGCTACTCCAGCTTTATAGTGAGGAGCTCTGGGCTGCCCAGGCCTCCTCGGTCACCGTCCCACCCCGAGTCCCAGCCCTCGTCTGGGACAGGTCCCCTGACCACTTCCCCGGGTCACGTCCCCGCGGTCCCCCTGCAGTCCTCTGTCACATCCCCTCTGTCTGCCCCTCCCTGCTCTCAGATGTGTTTCATCGCGAGCTTGTACACGAATGTGGTGAATGCCTGGATCGTCTTCTACCTGAGCCACAGTTTCCAGTTCCCTGTTCCATGGGAGAAATGTCCCTTATTGAAGAATTCCAGTGACTTTGGTGAGAGGAAGCCAAAGAGAAGGAGGAGGGGAAATGAGGACTGCCGGGGAACTCGGAAGAGGAAACAGGGAGGAGGGAGCAGGCAGAGGAAGACAGAAGCAAACACGGATGGTGGGGGGCAGTGGGCCCGAGGGCGGGCGCCCTGCCTGGCAGGCACAGCCACAGCCAGGTCCCCTCAGATCCTGAGTGTGCGCAGACGACGCCCTCCGTGTACTTCTGGTACCGGCAGACCCTGAAGGTCTCAGACAGGATTGAGGATGGTGGCCCGGTGGTCTCGAGTCTCAGCCTGCCCTTCTTTGTGTCCTGGTGTCTCGTTGGTGCCTTCACAATCAAGGGGCTCAAGTTCCTAGGAAAGGTGAGCCGGCACCTCAGGTCCCTCGACGTTCTCCGATGCCACAGCCGTCTCCCTTGGCTACATTTCACTCTCTTGGCCTTTACTTCTGCCTGCCCCAACCCTTTGCTGAAATCTCTCCTCCACCGCTTGCTAAGCTGCACCCCAGAACCTTCGATCCCTGCCTGTGGTTGGCCTCTGCTGGTACGCAATGGCGATCTGTTCCCCTCTCGATGCAGGGCATGTTTATCTTGATGTCATTTTCCTATATCATCTTCTTCTGCTTCTTCATCTGGAGTCTACACCTGGAAGGGGCAAAATATGGTCTTAAATATTTGCTAACTGCCAAGGTAAGGGGGACCCCACGCGCCTGTTGTTAAGCTCCTGTCCCCTCATGTCCCCTGTGCCCCCTCCCAGCGGCTCCACTGTTGTTGTCGCATTCCTTACTACAGCCTCCCTTATACCCGCCTTCTCCTTCTCCCTTTCAGGTGTCGGTTGTGTATGACCTGAGGGTATGGTCCATAGTAGGAGGCCAAGTTTTATTTGATCTGGGCTTAGGCTTTGGCCCCATTGCCTCCTTATCCTCCCACATGCCCCAGGCTAACAACTGTCTCAGAGATGCCTTTATCGCGGCTCTGGTCAACCTGGTCACCATGTTCTTCGTGATACCTTTCGTCCTCTCTGTCCTGGGCTTCTGGGCGACAGTCCTCACGCACCGCTGCACTGAGAAGTAAGGCCCGCCCCTTGGCGGGGGTCCTGGCCCCAGGGAACGGCAGAACCCAAAGGCCACATGCACAGCCCCCACTGGGTGTGCTCTTAAGTCACTGCTTGCCCGTTTCTGAAAACAGATAGTAGAACCCTCCTGTCGTGTTACCCCCAACCCAGCCCTCTTCTACCTGTGGGAATCTTCAGACTCAGCAGTCGGTCGCCAACTACCCATCTCAAGTAGCTATGCTCACATGTACTAAAAGTGACCAACATCCAAGTATCTGGTGAATCTATCTCTGATACACAAAATAACACCTCCTAAGAACACACCTATCAGAGATCCTTCCAAGGCTGTCCTTGGAATTCCTGATTGCTTCCGCCTTTAACTGTGGACTCATTAAATTTAGCAATGGCTGTCCATCTGGCATACTTAAATCCAAAAGGATTCTCAGCTCTAGAGCCTTTATTGTTAGAGCCTCCTTGTTTGTTTATTTATTTGCAGGTACTGGGCATTGAACTCAGGGCTTTGTGAATCCACCACAGGGCACATCCCTAGGCTCTTTGTGTGTGTGTGTGTGTGTGTGTGTGTGTGTGTGTGACAGGGTCTTGCTGCATTGCCCAGGCTTCCCTTGAACTTGCCATCCTTCCTTCTCAGTCTCCTGGGTAGATGGGATTATAGTCATGTCCCACCGCTCCCAGCCTGGTTTTTATTCTTTTTTTTTTTTAATTGGTTTTTTGAGACAGGGTCTCATGTACAGTTGAAACTGACCTGGAACTCACTATGTAGCCCAGGCTGGTCTCGAACTCACAGCCATCCTCCTGCCTCAGCCTCCTGAGTGCTGGGATTACAGGTGTGCCACCACACCCAGCCTGGTTTTTATTCTTTAGGCATTAATTTAAAAAAAATCCTGCTGGGTGTGTTGGCACATTCCTGTAATACCAGTATTTGGGAAGCTGAGGCAGTAGGGTTTCCGCAGGCTCAAAGCCAGCCTGGGGTACATTGTGACCTGTACACCAATAATGAATGAACTCACGAGGAAAGAAATTAGGAAAATAATATTATTCACAATAGCTTCAAGAAAAATTAAATATTTGGAATTAACCAAACAAAAGAAGTGAAAGACCTCTACAATGAAAACTATAGTACTTTGAAAAGGAGATCTGAGAGGAGATTACAGAAGAGAAAGATACCCGCATCTGCATAGGCAGACTAAAAATTGCCAAAATGGCCAGATTACCAAAACTGATATATAGATTTAATGCAACTCCAATCAGAATACCAAAAGCATTCTTCACAGAACTAGAAAATCCTAAGATTCTTATGGAACCAGAAGAGAACAACAATAGCAGAAGCAATCCAGGGCGACAAGAGGAAAGTAGGAGATGTCACATCCTGGATTTCGAGTTACAGTACAAAGCTCCAGCACAAAAGTGGACATTTTGTGGATCACTGGAATAGAACAGAGGATGCAGAAAACCCCAGGCACAGTCAGCCATCTGATCTTTGACAGAGGGGCCAGAAACATACGCTGGAGGAAAAGATAGCCCCTTTAATAAATGATACTGGGAAAACTGGCTATCTACATGCAGAAGATTGGATCTAGACCCATATCTCTCACCACCTACTAAAATAAAATCGTAATGAATCAAAGATCTAAGTGTCAAGTAATCTGCTAGAAAATAAAATAGGTAAAACTCCTGAAAACATGGGCATAGGCAAGGACTTTCTGAGTAGCAGACCTGTAATCCCACCACTCAGGAGACAGGCAGGAGAATCACTTTGAGTTTGAGGCCAGCCTGGACTACATAGTGAGACTTCTGTAAAAAACAAATTAACAAATAGTGTCATGACAAATTAAAAAGCTCTACACCGCAAAGGAAACAACCTCCAGAATGGGACAGCCTACAGGATGGTAAAAAAATTTGCCAGCTACTTCTCAGATGGAGGATTCATATCTAAAATATAAAAAAAAAACTTAAAATGTTACCCCCACCAAGTAAAATTCCCAATCAAGAAGTGGGCGACTGAAATGAATACCCTTCTCAGAAGAAATACAAATGGCCAATCGATACAGGAAAATACATTGAGCATCTCTAGCTGTTAGTGGAACACAAACACAAATTAAGACAACACAGGTTCCATCTCATTCCAGAAGGAATGGCTATCATCTTCAGGAACTCGAGTAACAACCTCTGAAGAAGCTGCAGAGAAAAAGGTACCTTTCTGCATTGGTGGGGATGTAAACTAGTATAGCCCCTCTGGAAATCAGGACGGAGAGTCCTCAAAAAAAGCTAAAACTAGCAATTTCATTTGCTCCAGCTATTCGCCTTCTGGGTGTCTTCCCCAAAGAGTTAAAGGCATCATATCACAGTGACTCGTGCACACCCATGTTTATAGCAGCACAACTCATAATAGCCAGACTTGGAAGCTTGGCTGTGTGTCCACCAGCAGACGAATGGATAAAGAGAATGCGGTCTATATATACCATGGAGTACCACGGTGTCACAGCAGTGTTTTTATTTTTATTTTATTTGGGGTGCCAGGGGTTGAACTCGGGCCCTTGTGCTTGCAAGGCGGGTGGCAGAACCACTGAGCCAAGTCCGCAGCCCCGACACAGCAATATCGTTAATTTTTTTTCAAAAGGTTGAAAAATAGCTTCAAGCCCTTTAATCCTTTCTGATGAGAAGATTAGTCCAAATAGCTAACTGGCCTACTGTCAGAATAACATAGGTAGTATTTTGTTTTTTAAAATGTGATCCAACTGTTCTTACTTTCTACAATTTTGCATTTCGCTCATATCAGTAAATCTTGGCTCACCTTCCGTTGCAGTTCTTATAGAGCAGTGATCTGAGCTTCGATGGATTTGTACAAGTTAGCTGAGTGAACGCCAGGGTCGGGAGGTCCTCAGAGAGAGAGCATGTTAAATAGGTGCGCAGCCAGCACACGGGCTGTCAGCAGGGTCATGGAGGGTGACGAGGCTGGCATGGTCAACCGGGTTCAGATCAGAAGGTCAAAGGCTCACTCACACCTACAATCTCAGCACTCTGGGAGGCTGAGGCAGGAGGATCACTAGCTCTGTCTAGCTCAGTCTGGGCAACTTAGTGACTTAGAGAGACCCTGTTTCCAAATTTAAAAAGGGCTGGCGATTTGGCTTAGTAGTGCCGCCACCTGCCTCACAAGTACAAGGTCTGCAGTTCAATCCCTGGTACAAAAAAAAATTTTTTTTTAAAGGGCTGGGGTATAGCTCAGTGCAAAGAGCCCAGCTTCCATTTCCGGTACCACACACACACACACAAATTTAAGAAGCAGTTTTCACTCACATAGCAGAGCTCCCTGGGAACATTACACACAGCGTAGCCCAAGTAAATGGTGTCCCCAGCATTCTGTGGTTTGTAGTTTAGATGGGTCGGCTTCCATCCACTGGCTCAGCCAGGAAGGGTGTGGGTGTGAATGAGTCCCCATCACTGAAGGAAAGGCCCCAAGTCCCTGTGGGTATAGAAAACCTTCTTGGGGTCCCACGGTCACCAACTCTTTGGTCTCACAAAGCGAATTCGTGGCCTCAAAAGTGGGTGCCTCCCAGGTTTCCTCCCCAGTCAGTACACTGGGCTAGAAGGCAGCTTTCTCACAGCAAGGAGAGGAGAGGCCTTGTCCCGAGAGGCTGCGCTGTCTGACTGATTGAACCACTGTCCTCAGGAACATGGAAACGCTCTTGATGCTGGTGAACATAGGGACACTGCCTCCTGAGGCTATGCCCCCCCGTGACCTGAACAACGACCCCACCTCCACCTACAGCATCTGGCTCGACAGCCTGACCCCAGACATCAAGAGCCTGGTGCTCGGCAAGGTGTCCAGGTGTGACAGAGAGGCGTGGATTCTGCGGGTGAGTGCCCAGAGCTGGGGGCTGGGCCCGCAGACGCCCTGGGGAAAAATCTCAGAGGCCCCACGTGACCATCAGCCCCACCATCGGAAAGAACTGCGGCCCGCTTCCACGAGCCATGGAGGTGGATCTGCTTTTCTTTCTTCCCGATTTGCTTGGAGATCTGCTTTTCTCAGCAGTTCAGGGCTTTCAGAGCATTTTCCAGAGAAAGCAGAGCGTACCTTTGTGTTTTGCTCTTGCTGTTCTTGCTAAAGTCAGAGATGCCGCAACTCCTCCCTCTTCTGTCCTTACAGGCTAAGGACGGCCCCAACTTTGCATTCTTGTCCTTTGTTGAAGTGGCGTCCTTCCTTCCCCGCTCGCTATTCTGGTCTCTCCTCTTCTTCCTGATGCTGCTGTCGCTGAGCTTGAGCACCATGATAGGCTTGATGCAAGGGCTCCTCATCCCGCTCCAGGACTCCTCCTCTTTCTTCAGAAAACAAACCAAGCTGCTCACAGGTAGTCTGACTGGTGGCCGCTCGCGTCCCGGTGACCCTTAGCCAGCTTGGTCTGTGGCCTCTGCATGGCTGGACTTCTGATCCAATGTTTCCTCCAGGGGGCATCTCTGTGCTGCTGTTCCTGTGTGGTCTTTACTTCACCCGACCCCCTGGCGTTTATATCATCAAATTGCTGAGGGAGTACTGGGCCCCCATACCCATCATCTTCATCGTCATCTGTGAAAACATTGCCGTGGCCTGGGCCTGCGGGGCCAAGAGGTGACACCCTCAGCCGAGCCTCCTGGGGAGCATGGGTCTGAGGCGGAAACGGACCCCTTTCTTCTTGCTTCTGCTTTCACCCAATTAGTGAATCTATTTATCATTTCTTTATTTAACACACACGTTTCCATATGCACCTGGCACTGCTTTAGTTAGCGGAATACCGCATCCAACAAACACCCCTGTCCTCAGCTTACATTCTGGTGTAGACAGGTAATAACCAAACTGACAAAAATATTGAAAAGAGCCGAGCGTGGTGGTGCACGCCTGTAATCCCAGCACTCGGGAGGCTGAGGCAGGAGGATCGCTGTGAGTTAGAGACCAGCCTGGGCGACATAGTGAGTTCCAGGTCAGTCTCAACTACATAGTGAGAACCTGTCTCAAAAAACAAAAAAAAGAAAAGGATAAGGGAGCGAAGTCAGTGGTGAGACGACCTGGAGTGGGAGTTGGGTCCGACAGGGCAGCAGTGAGGGCCTCCTGGGACAGTGATCCGTGACCCCACCAGGGCAGCAGGAAGGCCTGGGTCAGATGGGCATGGTGTGTGGGGAGCGAGGTGCCCAAGAGGCCCGAGCAGGGTGTCAGGTGAGGCAGGAGCAAGCGGGCCGGGCTGTGCGGGCCTCGTGGGCCATCGCGGGACTTAGCAGAGCTAATGCGCCGGAAGGTTTCAGGAGTAGCATTATCGGATTTATTTTATTTATTGTTTTGGTACCCTGCACTTGTGAGGCAGGCACGGTGCCACTGAGCTCCATCCCGGGCCCTGTCAGATGGAAGCTTTGCAGAGAAGTCTGTGCCTGCTGTGGTGCGCAGGACAGACTGAGGAGCCAGTGTGCGGCAAGAACTGGAGCTGCACGCTGCAGGGGGCGCTAGCGTGGCCCGGCGTGGGTGGAAGCTGTAGATGGAGAGCAGCAGTGAGGCTTGGGAAGGGAGAGCTACGGGGACAGGGGGCAAGATAATCAGCGACAGGGCTATGCGTCCTGACTGGGAGAGGAGGAGAGTCCGGACCAGGGCGGGGACTCCTGCGTCCCACCTCCTGGGGGCCGGTGTGTGGGCACCGAACTTGTGCCTCAGGCGTGGAGGCCCCGCGGGTGGCCGTGGTTGTTGGAGTCACTTCCTCCGCTCATTACCTCTTCGCTGAGCTAGACGCTTCGGGGACTGTCGGTGACAGGGAGGCCGGGTGGGCCTGGGAGCGGACTGCTCAGCTTGAGGCCCTCCGCTTCAAGAGCAGAGTCCAAAGCGAGGGACAGGGAGAATCCCAGCCGGCGGCGGGAAGTCAGCAGGGCACAGGGTCAGGCTGCAGGCACAGACGGTTGCTTAAGGAAGAGGACGAGGCTGGAGCAGGCCTGGCGGATGAACAGGCAGAGGAAGAGGGGCAGGGGGCCGTTTGATGCCAGTGTCACCTCTTACACGTCCATGGAGACCGAGAACATGTGCTGAGGGAGGCCGGGCACGAGCTGAACCAAGTAGGATCCGGATGCTGTCATTTCGTGGGGAGAGCAGGGGAGGGGCGGTGGGACGCGCGGGAGGCCCTTCCACAGCGGAGGGACACGTGGAGCCCCCTTGGGGCAGGATGGAGGGTGGACTGACCGAGAGCGGGCGGGATCGAGGAGAAAGCGGGAACTCGAGCTGTAACTGCCTGCCCGAAAGACCCTAGGGCTGGGCCGGCACCGTCCCGAGGCCAGGTGAGGCCTGGCCGCTCACCCATACTCTTCCTCCCACAGGTTTCTTGAAGACCTGATGACCCTGGCGCAGGGCTTCACCCTCCGCTTGTACAGCTGGCTGTGGAGCTACCTGACCCCGGTCATGCTGCTCGCCCTGTTTGTAGGCCTCCTGGTCCAGCGCTTCACGAAGCCCATCAGCTACATGGCCTGGGAGTCAAGCAACGTGAGTGCCCCTCCCAGGCCCTGGGCCCAGACAGTGGCGGCGGACCTTCCGGTCCCCTCTCTGAATAAACCTCCCGTCTCTAGTCCACAGAGGTGACTCGGCAGTACCCCTCGTGGGTGCTGTTCCTGGTGATCATACTGCTCCTCCTCGTCACCATGCCCATCCCTGTGTACCTCCTCTACGGCCTCACCCACGGGATTCCCTTCAGGCCCAGCGGGGGGGACGAGCACACAAAATCCTCCACATCCCTACATCGAAGGAACCAGGTCATGCCGGGTAGAGAGGCCCAAGAGAAAGAAGCTCACCAAGATAATAAAGGGAAGTGATGATCGGCCCGTCATCTGACTTCCTAGCTGCATTCGTTTTTGTTGTTTTCCAACTTCCCGCATCCCTCAAAACACATCTGACAGCCAGCACTAGAGAGGCCGAGGCAGGAGGATCACTGTGAGTTCGAGACCAGCCTGGGCTGCAGTGAGTTCCAGGTCAGTCTCCACTACATAGTGAGACCCTGTCTCAAAAAAAAAAAAAAGAAAAGAACGGGCCGGGCGAGGCCGG